ATGATAGGACTTACAGGTACCTAATCGTTAATTTATAGGAATAAATTGTTTATTTTTATGATGACGATAGTTTTTACGTAGGTATATTGAGATGGGGTTGAAGTAGTTTAGATAACAAATGAACATATTGTATATAAATATAAATATTAATTGTATATTAAAGAGACATATCTCATGAACTTTGCGTTATTTGTTCGTTTATTGTGTTACAATGTATTAGTAATAGTATACATAAATGTTGCACGCTTTTTAATTGAATTGATTCATTTGGTAAGGGCCTAAATTTTTGGATTTCTTTTTCTAAAACCCATCGCCCACTACGTAAAAGCTATGTCATTGTCCTATCGTGGCAAAGACAATTCTAAATGCTCATTAGCGAAGAAAAATGAAAAGACAAAATAGTCTAACGCAAGTAGGATGCAAGTGTATATACGGAGTGTATGTATGGTTAAATATATACCGTTACCAGATTAACATATACAGAAACGTGGTTCTTAAATTGAGTCCTAAAATCTTCATTTATTATTCTAAAATTCTAAATAGATAACCTATAATCGAAAGCATTTTTGGGGATTGTATGACTAAGTTTAAGACCACCTGATAGACATTGTGACAAATATTTGTTTTAAATTATAATTTTATTCTGTATAGAGTCATAAGCAGTTTCTTTTGTAGATAAATAATAATAATACATAACAGTTTTGTAAGTAATTTTAGAAGTTATATGGTTAAAGATACTATTAAAGAGACTGTTGCACTAATAGTTAGGTATGATTCTATACAGCAAGAATGGTGATAGTTTCTAATTTTAATCACAACTCAAACAAAAACGTTTTTGTTCTGATTTAAGTGGAAGACTATTGAATAATATAATAAAATTACAAAATCTTTGCTCGCTTTTTAATAATTATTTAACCACTAAAATGTTGCGTTAATAATAAATTAAATGTCAATTAAATCGTCCACATACTATACCTGTAAGAACCGGTGTACATGATACTTTCTGTGGTGGGACATGGTGCTGGCAAAAAAGTTCGAAATTTTTGCCGGCACCTTGGCCCGCGTCGTGTTGGTTTAAATCAAGACCAATAAAATAATTGTGTAGCTTAGATATTGCTGTATAACATTTTTGAGAAAAGCCATTCTTCGAATTTTCAGTTCTATTGACTCGTTAAGTGCCAAGTACGAATACACAATAGTTTTAAAATGATTTGTGCACAAGATTTTTACGTTTTGATTTTTAGCACTTCACTTACAATGTTTAATAATCAGAGGATGTTAATAAATGCTCACTGTTGTATTATTTGTTAAAATCTTATACCCTCTCCGCAACATGTTATGTGTGCACGGGGAGTTTGGGGCAACGGCGCGAAATAGTTTATAAGACAATAACTAAACTTCTCGGTGATTCCCATGCTGTTAAATGCCGCCACTCATACACGACTCTTAGTTATACACGATGCCCGACTTACCTTAAACACCCCGTACGTACGAGATTCTTATGAAATGCGATTTAATAAATTTATATATGTTAATGTTTTTTAATTATTATGTGGAAGGGGGTATTTGATTTCAGGGTAATATTTAAATGAATATAAAAATGAAAGGATGGGACATCACTTGCGAAGTTTTTCTAATGAAAAAAACAAGGTCAGATGGATGTAAATATAGTGTTATGATGATATACACTGCCTAAATAAATGATTATTACCTATGGTTTTTCATTCATAAATCCTACATCCCCAATACTACCTAAATTTACATAATCCTCCAATTAAGGGTAAGTTTAAATTAGCATTTAAAAAAATAATATCTGGACTTAAAAATAAATCATATTTGTGCGAATATATTGAGATGTCCCCCAGGTGAAAATGATTATTTTGTATTTTTGGTTGTTTCACTGTTAGTCTAGAATTGGGTTTTTGGGAAGCCACCAGGTCTAGTAATATTTAGTAATATTTTAAGAAATCATACATTTTGAATAGCTTCACGGAGGTTAGGGTTTTGTATGTTTTTTTTAAACATCCCTTTGTATATTTGAAATAAGTTATTGTATCTTTTGACACCTTATTATTTTTAAAAAATACAATTGTACATACATAAAATATATATAAAAAACTAATTACTGAGATATTACACTTCACGGTGGATATGTTTTTAAATAGCAAATTAATGAACATTCTCATCTCCATATAAATTCCAAGTGACCTTCAGGAATCACATGCATCCATAATGTCGTAAACATAGGTTTTTCCTTATTTAAAATGATTAAAGCGCCATCCGTTGCATAAAATTTAAAGCAAAAACAGATTCACGGAGGATAGAATCAATTTTTGTAACACCTACATAAATGGTTATAAAAATTATATCTTTTTATTTTTAATAATATTTTATATTTGATTTGATTGCTTTGTATGTGTTTAATTTACTTAGTGAACTGATATTTTTAGTATGCTTTTACTACCTCAGATATTTGAAAACATATAGGTTAACGTAGAAAGAGTAACAGTCACGGAGGATAGGTTTTAGACTTTTAAAACATTGTAAAAAAAGCTAATTGCGGTTAAAAATCTGGAACTGAAGCAGTAATATCTACTTAATTATGAAACATCAAAACACAATAAAAGTGTAGGTCAAATTCATTTCGTGAGATTCACCAATTTAACGTAATTTTGCAATATTTGAATCAAAATATTTAACTTTAAATAGCAAATCAATCAAGTAAAATTGTATAGCGTATCAGTAAACTCCATTAAAAGTTATTTAGTTAAGCTACTTTCTGGTAGGTGGCAATACATACTACATACATACTTAACAGTTTTTAGCAGGGGCAGATCTCCCTTTTAAATATGTAACTTCTAAAACCAGAACATATTTTGTATACGGACTGTGTAACAACCATTACTAAACATTTTTCCAACTACATATTAATATTTAGTTGGGTATTGATTGCTTACATTTAATGAATACTATATATTAAGAATTGATGTTTTTAGTGTAATATACGAGTTAACAATTTTTTCCTTTTTTTTATTAATAATACATTAAAATAAAAATAAATAAAAAATAATCAAACATTTTTCTCGTTCTTAAAATCTACACTGTACAAATTTTAAGTTTATTGCATTAAATTATTTTTTAAGAATTACAAAAATACCACCTCACATATATCGTCCTGTATCTAGGTGATTACTAACATTTTACTAAAATATATTTGTGTTAATCGACCTATTTTGATCTCTTAATTCTACAGTTGCCCGTTAGTTATGAACCCTGTATATTTATTGGTTAGTTTAAAATAGTTATTAATTATTTCTATAAAATTCTTGCTTTATGTACGTGTATTAAAAACAAAAGTTAACCTTAAATCTAATTACACCGGTTTACAGCCAAAATGTTCATTCAATGCCATTATTTTTTTCTGATGTTTTTTGGCCATCCAAATTCGAAAATAACAATATTTTTACTATGAAGAAGCAACAATCATTAAAATATTCCCATTTTAAAACTATCTCAATGGGTTTATGATAAAAATAAGGTATTAAAAAAAAATTATGGATGAATGTCAAAAATTCAACTTTTAGTTTTGTAGCGTATATTGTAGTTTAAAGCAATTAGATGAATTTAATGCATTTTAAGGAAAGTTTTGTTTATTGTTGAATTAATAAAGTTTTTTGATTTAAAACATTAAATTTTACGTTGCGATATCGCTGTTCATTGAACAGCGGCTGTTGTATGCTTTTAAAATTTGATACAATAAATAAATTAAAACAAGATTTTGAGTGCTAAACCCAGAAGAATATTTCCTTTCGCAATTCCCAATTTCATACAGTGTGACCCATTTGTTTGCGACTCACCCCTGTAAAATCTTTATTCTTTGTGCGATTTTAACCGGATTTCTTTTAAAGTGTAGATCTTGATAAACTGTATTTTTGGAGCAAAAGACGCCATAATAGAACAAAATACAAGGCCTACTATTTCAGTTTTTGAGAGTAAATTTTTAAGAATTCATATTAGCGATTTTTTTTAAACAAATTTCAAGCACTGCACTGGATTCACCACCCCTTAAAACGACCCTATACTAAATTTTATTGAAACATTTTAAGAAAAAAAATGTACAATAATAACTACAAAAATTTATTTTGTCAAGTTATCCATGAAAAAAACATTGAAATAAAATTGAATAGTAATAGTACCATGTTACTATTAGTTTAATTTTATTTCAATGTTTTTTTCATGGATAAGGTACCTGAAAAAATAAATTTTTGTAGTTATTATTGTGCATTTTTTTCTTTAAATTTTTCAATAAAATTTAGTATAGGGTCGTTTTGAGGAGTGGTAAATCCAGAGCCGAGTTTAGATTTTGTTTAAAAAAATCGCTAATATGATGTCTTAAAAATTTTCTCTTAAAATCTGACATAGTAGGCCTTGTATTTTGTAAAAATATGGCCTTTTTTGCTTCAAAAATACAGTTTATCAAGATCTACACTTTAAAACAAATCCTGTTAAAACCGCACAATAAATAAAGATTTTACAGGGGTGAGTCGCAAACAAATGGGTCACACTGTATATGAAATAGGCTTTAACAAAATTAAGCAAACTTGTTAGTAATATTTTTAATCAAAAAGAATGTACGTATCAAGTTTTTTAAATTTAAATTAGTTTAAAACATAAGCACTTGTATGATATCAAAAATAGTATAATTTATTTTTTACTACCAGACGCATTGACACAAAAACCTAAAAAAATTGGCACTGGATTAATATTATGTTTTTAAAATACTTGGTAAACGTAAGCGCCAACTATAATTACTAATAAATCAAGACCTAACTGGAATACAATGAACGTTTTTACGCCACAAATTATAGGGGTCCTATTGTTAATGGTTTTGAAAGCGGTTATAAAGTTGGCAGCATTTCAATAATTTGTTGAAAAAATATTATCGACATACATTTTTAAATAAAACACTATTTATTTATTTATTATGTTTGTTTATTATTCCAATAAAATACGTAATACAAAAAATATTTTTGGCCAATCATTTATTTTACTTAATTACAAAAATATCGCTAGACACTAGTTCTAAAAATAAAGACACTTAGATAGACCGAAACAATTGTGTTTTATGTTTTTCTGTGTCAACTTAATAATAGACGTTTTTGGCACACTGTCAGAGGTTGAATTAAAAGGTGCTCGGTATGAGAGACTTTTCTAATTGCTATGGAGGAAATTCAGATCGACCAAATTTACCCGATCATCATTGCTTTGAACTCTGAAATCAAAAGAGTGGTCATTTTAAATGTTTTTTGATTTATTTTATAAACACTTCAAAGTAGTTTAAATCTAGTTTAATAGACAACTTTGATACACCAGCAAACTTTAATTACGGAAAGATTTACACAAATTCAGTACAACGATTCGATTTTCGATAATTTATAACTATTGGATTTTAAATATACAATGTAATAAACTGCGCAGTGCGCACCACTCAATGTGTCGCGACCAAAAAGTTCGTTCTTTTTCAAAACGACATAACTTTTTTGTTTCATGAACGATTTTATTTTGGTTTGTAATGTCTGCTAGCCTCATCCTCTGGCAATTTATGCTATAAATATGAAGCTCACGGTTGGTCAAGTAAATTTCCTACAGGGTGATATGTTAAACGGTGAAAAATTTTAATAACTTTATCCAAGCCCCGTTTGTAAAAAAATAATTTTTTTTTTCGTTTTTACTTTGAAATAATGAAGTATTATGTGTTACCTTGAAACGTTTTTCAAATTTTTCGAATTGGAATCTTAGCAACGAAAATATGATTTTTTTCTTTCTAAAAGAGTACATTTGATGTTTTTGTAGGCAATGCACTAAGCCTTTTTAAGAACAAGAAGATAAGATGGTGAAAGATTGTTTCTTGAAATTGTTTTCGAATTTTGATTCTTGGTGATTTTGGTTTTATCTGAAACTTAAATTTGATAATTGAATCACAATCAGGAGGTCAAAATTATTAAGAAAACATGTCACGAACGTAAATATCGGTTCAGGTTTAGTTTTCGAAAATTTTCACCAAAATGTCACTTTGAAAAGGTGGTCTTTGCTTACGCCCCTCTGAAAATAATGTAAGTTTGTTGCTTGTTTAGAATTATGCAAGGAACAATATTTCACCATCTTATCTCCTTGTTCTTAAAAAGACAAGTGTATTGCCTACCAAAAATGCTCAAATCTACTCTTTTGAAAAAAAAAAATAATATTTTCGTTCCTTAGATTCCAATTCGAAAAATTTGAAGAACTTTTCAAGGTAAGACATAATACTTTATTATTTCAAAGTAAAAACGAAAATAAATATTTTTTTTTACAAACGGGGCTTGGATGAAGTTATTGAAAATTTTTACCGTTTTACATATCACCTTGTAGGAAATTTACTTAAAGAACCTTGAGCTAAAGCTATATCATGAATTGCCAGAGGATGGAGCTAGCAGACATCAAAGACCAAAATAAAATCGTTCAAGAAACAAAAAAGTTATGTTGTTATGAAAAAGGACGAAATTTTTGGTCGCGACACATTGAGTGGTGCGCAGTTTAGTTAAAACACCAAAAAATATATATATTTAAGTAATATTTCCTTACCTTCCCAGTCAACAGTTCCAGATTTATCTGTGTCGATTTCTTCAATCATTTGCTCTAAATCTGATGGAGTCATCTTGTCATCCAATTCTTTTAAAATTTCTCTGAGAAGATCCACAGAAATGTATCCCAATCCTAAGTCCAGGTTTAAATTTAAAGTGTGTTAAATTTATATTTGCTGACATTGATGAATTGAACCTTACCTTCTTTATCATATAACCTGAAGGCATCCTTTAACTCTTTCAAAATTTGTTCTGTATCTTCCTCCTCTTCAATCAAGAAACTTGCAGCCAGATGAGCAAATTCTCCGAAATTCATAACACCGTTACCATCTTCATCAATTTCTTTAATAATTTTCTTAAAAAATTAAAATCTTATAAATATTGTTTGTAATTTAAAAATAAGTTACCTGTAATTCGTCTGGTGTTAGCTGCTGGCCCAACATATCCAAAATTTGTCCAATCATATCGACCGCAATTTCACCTTTCTTTTCAAGATCAAAAGAGTCAAAGATGGATTTCAACACTAAAATATATACATATATACGTATTGGGTATTCAAGTGTTTAGATAACTTACTTCTAAGTTGATCTTTAGCAATATTCAGATCCTTGAGAGCCTCATAATCGATGTTCAAGTCGGTCTATCAAGTATTTCCTTAATTTTTTTTTTATTAAAAACAAAAACAATACTTACCTCTGCTTCTGGCTGTAATACAAATTTATTTTTATTATTATTGAAAATTCAGGTAAAATAGGTTACCTTTTTGTCCCCCATTATATTTAACTTGCACTTGTACTACTAAACCTTTTTGTTTAAATCGTACTAAACATTTATAGACATGTCAATCTTGTTAATTTGTATCGAAGCCAATTAAATAAGTGGGGATAAATATTTCGAAAAGTAATCATCGAGTTTATTTTGATTCGAAATTGTATATAAATATATTTAAATCAAAGACAAATTAAATGCTAAGGTTATTTATTAAATTAAACGTGTTTAAATTACAAAATGCTTAATGTCTACATAATACCTATTGGTTTCGTCTTTGGTTGTTGGTTAGTTGATGGTAACAAACGGGTTTATCCAATCATTACAGCACGAAATTCTAAAAAATAAATTAAAAAATACTTTTTTTCAGTTTTGTTGATATATGTACCTTCCCAGTCAACAGTTCCAGATCCATCAGTATCAATCTCATCAATCATATTGTCAAGGTCATCTTCACTTAGTTTTTCATCTAGCTCTCTTAAAATTTCTCTCAAGACTTCAATGGTTATAAATCCGTTACCTATAATATACAAAGTATGTTTCTTTTAAAACCAATTTTACACCATTAAGAGAGTTTTGCAGATATTCAAACCAATGATAGTCTATAGTTTATGGTTTTACTGTATATGTATTAAGACCACTTTCCTATATAAAAGTGTCGTTCTTTTCAATCAATGGTTTTGCAGACAATTTTGGTAGCGTATATTCTGATGGTGATACAAATTTTAATATAAATCTAAATATACACTTATTCCTGATATTAACATTAAATCATTTTCTGAAAAGCTATATTAGAAAGTATATCCAAACTAAAAAACAATTCTTCGTGTGGTAATGATCAAATACCAAACTTTATAGTTAAAGATTGCACGTTGATATTTGCATATGGGTGAATCTCACGAAATGTCCCCCGTGATATTTAATAAAACTAAATGAGTTTGACCTACACTTTTATTGTGTTTTGATCTTTCATAATTAAGTAGATATTACAGCTCATGTTCCAGATTTTTAACCGCAATTAATTATTTTTTACGATGTTTTAAAAGTATAAAACCTATCCTCCGTGACTGTTACTCTTTCTAGGTTAACCTATATGTTTTCAAATATCTGAGGTAGTAAAAGCATACTAAAAATATCAGTTCACTAAGTAAATTAAACACATCCAAAGCAATCGAATCAAATATAAAATATTATTAAAAATTAAAAGAAATAATTTTTATAACCATTTATGTAGGTGTTACAAAAATTGATTCTATCCGCCGTGAATCTGTTTTTGCTTTAAATTTTATGCAACGGAAGGCGCTTCAATAATTTTAAATAAGCAAAAACCTCTGTTTACGACATTATGGATGCATGTGATTCCTGATTCAGTTAGAATTTATATGCAAATGAGAGTGTTGCTGTTTTATAATTCAGAAGTATAAGTTCATTAATTTGCCATTTAAAAACCTATCCACCGTGAAGTGTAATATATCTTTAAGTAGATTTTTTATAAATATTTTATGTATGTACAATTGTATTTTTAAAAAATATTAAGGTGTCAAAATATACAATAACTCATTTCAAAACATACGAAATCCTAACCTCCGTGAAGCTATCTTCCGTGAAGCTAGCATATTCAAAATTTATGATTTCTTAAAATTCTTGCTTTAGTGCAGAACCACTTATGTTATGATATTACCAGACCTGGTGGCTTCCCAAAAAACCCATTCTAGACTAACAGTGAAACAACCAAAAATAAAAAATAATAATTTTCACTTGGGGGTCATTTTATTTTCATCTACTTTTCCCGATTTATAGAAAATAACCAGAGTTTTCCCAATTTTTAAATCAGGGAACCCCTGTGGCGTCAAAAACTATAGACCAATAGCAATTCTATCTAATATTGCAAAGGTTTTGAATCATCTGTGCATACCTGCCTCTACAATGTAGTAAACAAACTTATTTCCACGCAACAACACAGATTTATGAATAAACCTTCGACTGTAACAAATCTTGTCGAATTCACGCAATTTGTTTCTACACATTGATAAAAAAACTTCAGGTGGATGTGATATACCTACACTGATTTTTCAAAGGCTTTCGACAGAGTAGACCATAATTGCTCATTCCTACTTGTGTCAGCGCAAATTGTTTGTTTCTTATAATGGGTTCCACAGGGCTCCAATTTGGATCCTCTTTTGTTTATTTTAGTTATAAATGATTCGTCAATAAAACTAAATTGAAAACATTTATTTTTTGCTGACGATTTGAAAATTAACGAGTATTTCCGATACTACTGATTGCTACCTTTTTCAAAATCAATTAAACATGGTTCTTAAGTGGTGCAAAATTAACAAACGATCTAAATATATCTAAATGTAAAATCTGTAGTAACCGTTTTAAAAAAAAGGTCGTTATATATTTTTTTAAGAACTCTTGTTGAATATAAGTTTAATAAAGTACATATGTTATTATGTTTATACTTTGTCCTGTAATTTGAATATTTTATTCTGTTGGTAATAAAGAAATTCGAAAAAGAAACATTACAACTCTACAGCAGAATCGTCCATTTGCAAATGTGGCTAATTTTATTCATTTTAAAAGATTTTTCCAAATAAAATTTAATAATATGCATAGTTTTTTGTAATGATCAATAAACGCACTAAAGTATAAGTAATATTTTTACCTTCTCTATCATAAAGTCTAAAAGCTCCTTTTAACTCCGTTTGAATGGCTTCTGTATCTTCATCGTCTTCAACAAAAATCTTGCTGCTAAATTTGCAAACTCTTCAAAACTCACTTCACCATTGTCGTCTTCATCAATTTCATCAATTATACCCTATAAAGTAATATAAGTTTTAATATTAGTATTAAAAATCAGTTAAAGTAAAAATATCAAGATATAAAATATATGATTACAAAAAACTTACATCCAGCTCATCACCCATCAGTTGGTACCAAGCATATCCATGATGGTTCCAATCATGTCCGTACCTATGTACCCTTTTTTATCCACATCAAAAGCATCAAAAGTTTGTTTTAACACTAAAAATTGTTGTATAAAACACTAGAAAAACAAACATTCCCTTCACTTACTTAAGATCTGCTCCCGATCGAGCTCATCCTAAAAATCACTCAAATAAAGTTATTAACCTCCATAATTTAAGTTAGCGCTGCTTACCATTTTAATAGGCATGGCTGGCTATGTCTGCAAACGACAACTGGCAAACGGGCCTTCTTCTTTAATTATGTCAATGGAGGGGACTAAGTTAAGAATAAATAGACGGCTTAAATGTCATGTCTTAGGTATCTTGGAATAGAAATCAATAGTAATCTCTAAAGAGAATATAGCTTTAATTTAATTTAATTTAATGAATACGTAAGAAAGGTTTTAATTTTATTTTCTGATATTAAGTAAATAATTTTAATATTTTCTTCCAAGCATTTATGGATAATGGTAAATATTTTAAAGCAGAGGTGCTTTAGGGCACTAAGTGCCAAGGTATGCTTTAGGTCACTTACTTATCGGTAGGCAGTAGAAAGGTAAGGTCATATTTATATATTTTTGATGTCAATTTCGAAAAAAATATTTAAAATAGTAAAGCGACGTAGATGAAAACATGAGAACATCTTTTAAAAAAGCTTGGAATCAAAACTATAGATAAAACCAATACAAAATGGGTAGACAAATCTGATTGGAGGACTTTTACCAAAACACCTCACACCAATCTATTCAGAAAATGGATAGCAATAATGTAGACCCACAATAACAATTGTGATTTTGTACCAATTCTACATGATGGGTAAATATATATTGAGATGTCCCCCAAGTGAAAATGATTATTTTTTATTTTTGGTTGTTTCACTGTTAGTCTAGAATGGGGGTTTTTGGGAAGCCATCAGGTCTAGTAATAACATAACATAAGTGGTTCTGCACTAATGCAAGAATTTTAAGAAATCATACATTTTGAATATTAGAGCTTCACGGAAGATAGCTTCACGGAGGTTAGGATTTGGTATGTTTTTTTTAAAAACAACCCTTGTATATTTGAAAATAAGTCATTGTGTCTTTTGACACCTAAATATTTTTTAAAATTACAATTGCACATACATAAAATATTTATAAAAAAATCGACTTACTGAGATATTACACTTCACGGTGGATAGGTTTTTAAATAGCAATTTAATAAACTGTTTAATTATAAAATAGCAACAGTCTCATCTGCAAATAAATTTTAACTCACCTTCAGGAATCACATGCATCCATAATGTAAACAGAGATTTTGCTTTATAAATGATTAAAGTGCCATCCGTTGCACAAAATTTGAAGCAAAAACAGATTCACGGAGGATAGAATCAATTTTTGTAACACCTACATAAATGGTTATAAAAATTTGTTCTTTTAGATTTTTAATAATATTTTATATTTGATTCGATTGCTTTGGATGTATTTAATTTACTTAGTGAACTGATATTTTTAGTTTGCTTTTACTATCTGATATATTTGAAAACATATAGGTTAACCTAGAAAGAGTAACAGTCGCGGAGGATAGGTTTAAGACTTTTAAAACATTGTAAAAAATAATTAATTGCTTTTAAAAATCTGGAACCTAAGCTGTAATATCTTATTAATTATGAAAGATGAAAACACAATAAAAGTGTAGGTCAAATTCATTTAGTTTTATTAAATATCAGGGGGGTAACACTATCGGGGGACCCATATACTAATTATTTTTCTTAGTACATAAAATATACGTTTATTTTTGTAGAAAATGACAAGTATTAAATTAAGTAGATTTTTGTTGAAATACCTAAAGAGTTATCCAATATTTTTACATTTTGATATTTAATTAAAATAAAATGCTATAAAATTGTTGTTTTTAAACCACATATACATTTTGTATTTAAATAAAGATGAATGACGAAATTAAGTCAAAAATAATTTGTTTATTACATTAAAATCATAAACTTAAACCTCGTTAATTAGGATAGCAATGCACCAAAAAGCATTTCGAGCGTGTTAAATCAAATAAAACCCAGTAAACGTAAAATTGTTGTTTATTAGCAAATAGTT